GCGGGGCCGAAAGAGTGCGGGTAGCTCTGCGGCGCGGTAGCGGTGCAGCGGGGCCAGGCGGAGCCGAGCCCGGGGAAGACACGGCCCTACTCCGATTGCTGGGGCTCCGCCGGGGCCTGCGCCGGCTCCGCCGCCTATGGGCCGGCCCGCGCCTTCAGCGAGGCCGGGGCCGGGGCCGGGGTCGCGGCTGGGGCCCGAGCCGGGGCTGCATGCCGGAGGAGGAGAGCAGTGACGGGGAATCCGACGATGAGGTGAGGCGGTCGGGGGCGTCCCCGGCGCCGGGCGGGGCGGAGGCCAGGGGCTTTACAGGGTTCAGGGTGGCCCCGAAGGGTAGCGTGGGAAGCGGCGACCTCAGGACTACTGCGCGGAGAAGTGGTCCTGGAAACAGACATGAAAGAAGGTGGGCTGCACGGAGCTTTGGGTGGATAGGGCTTCTAGAAGTGAAGAGAAGCCCCAGCTGTAGCTAGGCACTCGGCTCAAAGCAGGTCCTGCTGGTGTCCTGGGCTGATCTCTCTTGGTAGCAAAGGTAGGGCAGTAGCGGCGAGTGGGTGAGGAGGCCGTGGGGACTGCATGCCCAGCCGTGGATGGATGACAGCATCAGCGTGGCTTTAGTGGGCCTGGAGGAGAGCCGTCTGCGCTCTTACCTGTGGACCGCCCTGCTGGGCCTCATACTCTTGACACATCCCTCCTTTCACCAGTGCCTCAGTTCCTCAACCTATTAAAATAGGTAGAGTAGTATAGGGCTGCTTCTTGGCACACAGGTTAAAGAGGAATGACATGAAAAGGGAGGTTTGAGTTTGGCAGGTCAGAGCTTAAGCTCAGGGTTTATTCCCTAGACCATCTGAAAAGGCAGGAAGGTTTGGGTCGTATTGCTTAGGACAGTTAGTAACCACTGGAGAGCTCAGGGTGGATCCCCAAAAGATAAACCATTTTATGTCCCACTCCTTCGGACTTGGGTGTCCTTACTCCTATCTTTACTCACGAAGAAACTATGATCTGAAGAGGTGTAAAGAGAGGCTCAGCTTTGTTTTGAATGAGACTTGGCCCGAAATGTGGAGAGCCTACTGCCTGATCCAAGGAGATCCTGTTGTGTTTTCCTCTTGGCCAGCAAACCAGTGGTGGCTGTGCTGCTGTGGCCTGCACCGGGGGAGGGAGTTGAAAATGTCTTGTGCCTCCATCCTTGGGGAGAGACCATTTTCTATTCCTTTCTGATGTTCCAGTTTTTTAGTTTGTTTAGAATTAAGCAGGAGTACATTAAAAGGGAAGCTGGGCTATTCCTCAATACCTGAGTCCCAGGTGGAATCAGGGCTTTGGCACTGACTGCTGTTTCTCCCCTCCACCCCTGGTCACCTAAATCAGGAGTTTCAGGGTTTTCATTCAGATGAAGATGTGGCCCCCAGTTCCCTGCGCTCTGCGCTCCGATCCCAGCGAGGTGAGTGATGGGGAAACTCTACCTCCATAGCTTTACAGGAATGTTATTCCCACCTTTTGTGTCAGCTCTCCCTGTTTAACTAGTCTCCATCAGTTACTGAGTGTGTCCTGTGTTCAGAGTCTAAGCTAGGTTGGGCTGTGGGAGAAATAAATGAGACTTAGTCCCCGTCCTCCCAGTATACCTTCTTCAGTCTGCAGGGCCAGACTGTCTTGACCTGTCTCCCCACACCTATTCTCCTTTTAGGTCGAGCCCCCCGAGGTCGGGGCCGCAAGCATAAGACGACCCCCCTTCCTCCTCGCCTAGCAGATGTGGCTCCTGCCCCCCCAAAGACCCCTGCCCGAAAACGGGGTGAGGAGGGCACAGAACGGATGGTGCAGGCACTGACTGAACTTCTCCGGCGGGCCCAGGCACCCCCAGCCCCCCGGAGCCGGGCATGTGAGCCATCCACCCCCCGTCGGTCTCGGGGACGGCCCCCAGGACGACCAGCAGGCCCCAGCCGGAAGAAGCAACAAACAGTAGTGGTAGCAGAAGCGGCCGTGACAATCCCTAAACCTGAGCCCCCATCTCCTGTGGTTCCAGTGAAACACCGAACTGGCAGCTGGAAGTGCAAGGAGGGGCCTGGCCCAGGACCTGGGACCCCCAAACGTGGAGGACAGTCTGGGAGAGGAGGCCGTGGGAGCAGGGGCAGAGGCCGAGGTGGCCTTCCCCTCATGATCAAGTTTGTTTCCAAGGCCAAAAAAGTGAAGATGGGACAGTTGTCCTTGGGACTGGAATCAGGTCAGGGTCAAGGTCGACCTGAGGAAAGCTGGCAGGATGACCCCCAAAGAAAAGTTGGATCTGGACAGGGAGGGGATATTTGCTGGAAGAAGCTGGAGCAGAAGCTAGAGGAGGAGGGAGAAGAGAAGAAAGAAGAAAACAAGGAGGAAGGAGAGAAGGAAGAAAAAACTGTGGTTGAGAAAGAGTTGATACTAGCCAAGGAACAGGAAGAGGCAAAGCCACCATCTCCGCCCCCTACTCCTCCAGCTCCTCCAGCTCCTCCAGCCCCTCCACCCCCACCCCTCCCACCTCCCTCAGCATCTCCTCCACCTCCACTTTGCCCTTTACCACCTCCAGTGTCTCCCCCTCCCATGCCATCCCCTCCGCCACCTCCAGTTCCAGAGGAGCAGCAAGAGGAGTCCCCTCCTCCTTCTGTCCCTGCTACATGCTCCAGGAAGAGGGGTCGGCCTCCCCTGACTCCTAGCCAGCGTGCAGAGCGGGAAGCTGCTCGGGCAGGGCCAGAGGGAACCTCTCCTCCCACTCCAAATCCCAGCACAACCACAGGAGGCCCTTTGGAAGACAGTCCCACTGTGGCCCCCAAAAGCACCACCTTCCTGAAGAATATCCGGCAGTTTATTATGCCTGTGGTGAGTGCCCGCTCCTCCCGTGTCATTAAGACACCCCGGCGATTTATGGATGAAGACCCTCCCAAGCCCCCAAAGGTGGAGGTCTCACCTATTCTTCGGCCTTCCATAGCCACCTCCCCACTTGCTCCCCAGGAACCAGCACCTGCTCCTTCTCCACCACGTGCCCCAACTCCCCCATCTACTCCAGTCCCACTCCCTGAGAAGAGACGATCCATCCTAAGGGAACCCACATTTCGCTGGACTTCACTAACCCGGGAGCTACCCCCTCCTCCCCCAGCCCCTCCCCCAGCACCATCCCCACCACCTGCCCCTGCTACCCCCTCCCGGAGGCCCCTGCTCCTTCGGGCTGCTCAGTTTACCCCAAGTGAAGCCCACCTGAAGATCTATGAATCGGTGCTTACTACTCCTCTTGGGGCTCCTGAAGCCCTTGAACCAGAGCTGCCGCCTGCTGATGACTCTCCAGCTGAGCCTGAGCCTCGGGCAGTGGGCCGCACCAACCACCTCAGCCTGCCTCGATTTGCTCCTGTGGTCACCACACCTGTTAAGGTTGAGGTGTCCCCACATGGGGCTCCAGCTCAGAGCAATGGGCAGCAGCCTCAGGCTCAGCCACAACAGCCTCTACAGACCTTGCAGACCCAGCTCTTGCCCCAGGCATTGCCACCCCAGCAGCCACAAGTGCAGCCACAGTTACAACTGCAGCAGCCACAAGCACCACCACATGTATCACCACTGGAAAAGGCACGGATTGCAGGCTTGGGTTCCCTGCCGCTGTCTGGAGTGGAGGAGAAAATGTTCAGCCTCCTTAAGAGAGCCAAGGTGCAGTTATTCAAGATCGACCAACAGCAGCAACAGAAGGTGGCGGCATCAATGCCGGTGAGCATGGTGTTTTGGTCAGACCTTTGTACCAGTCCACCCAGCTGCCTCCCTAAACGCTCTGTAGTGTCTCAGAAAACCCTCAGAATTAGTCCTTTTCTGTGCTTCCCCAATTCCATCCCTTCCTGTGCTATTCCTGTCCCCATCTGTCCTCACTTTCCAGCCCATGACCCTGTCTATTCCCCTGCCAGCCAAGCCCTGGAGGGCAGATGGAGGAGGCCGTGGGGACTGTCAAGCAGACCCTAGACAGAGGCTGTGTCAGGTCTGAAGATGAATCTGTGGAAGCTAAGAGAGAGCGAGCTTCGGTATGTGGTAGACTCTGAGGGCCCTTTGAAGTAGACTGGCTACAGGAGCTCAGGGAACAACTCCCTACATATATCCCTGGTTTCTTTTCTCCCAGGGCCCCGAGTCCCCAGTTCAAGGCCCCCGCATCAAGCATGTTTGCCGTCATGCTGCTGTGGCCCTGGGTCAGGCCCGGGCCATGGTACCTGAAGATGTGCCCCGCCTCAGTGCCCTCCCTCTCCGGGATCGGCAGGACCTCACCACAGAGGGTAGGGACGGTGTCGATGGAGAGGCTTGAGAGCCCTGTCAGGTTTGGGATTGAGCAGTTGTACCAGAAGCCTAGGAAAAGGGGAGTTGAGTTGGGGGCGATGGTCAAGTAGCAAGTGGATTGGAATGCTAGGTTTTTGATAAAGTAGATTGGGTCTGAACACCTGGAACCTGTCAATTCTGGGTATGTGGGGAACAGTGGAGGCCAGAGGGCTTGAGATCTGAAGGAGAACAGGAAAGTGAGGTAGGATGCTTGTTGACCTTGAGGCTCTATTTCCTCATTCTCTGGTACAATAGATACATCCTCTGCATCTGAGACAGAAAGTGTCCCATCCCAGTCCCAGAGAGGAAAAGTGGAATCAGCAGATCCTGGAGGAGATTTGGAGCCTGCAGGGTCTGGAGGGGTTCTGGCGCATACTCCCCGGCGCTCACTGCCTTCCCACCATGGCAAGAAGATGCGTATGGCCCGGTGTGGACACTGTCGGGGCTGCCTGCGTGTACAAGACTGTGGTTCTTGTGTCAACTGCCTGGACAAGCCCAAGTTTGGGGGTCCCAACACCAAGAAGCAGTGCTGCGTGTGAGTAGCTGGGAAGTGGCTTCTTGGCTGCCTGGAGTTGTCAGTTGCCAGGCCTCCTGCCCCAGCCCCTCCCTCTTCTGCCCAGCCAGAACAGTGGGATTGGCATCCTTGTGGAGAGCTTCCTCTCTTCCCCTAGACCACCAGTCCCCTACCCTGGTGACGTGCTGCTCCCCTCCCCAGATACCGGAAGTGTGACAAGATAGAGGCTCGGAAGATGGAACGACTGGCAAAAAAAGGTAACAAGATTTGAAAAACATTGCATATGTAGATTTGTGGTATGGAGGAAGCCACTTGTCTTTGCGCTCCCCTACTTATCTTTGCAGTTCTTTTTGTTTCCTGTTGAATGTTTTTTTATTTGTCTTTTTCTGCTCAATTTCTGCCCATGTTTCTGGTGAAGCTCATATCCCACTTAGTCCCCTGTTCCCACAGGCCGGACGATAGTGAAGACGCTGTTGCCCTGGGATTCTGATGAATCTCCTGAGGCCTCCCCTGGTCCTCCAGGCCCACGCCGGGGGGCGGGAACTGGGGGGTCCCGAGAGGAGGTGGTGCCCGAGGAGCCGGACTCCCTCCTACTGCAGCGCAAGTCAGCCCGGCGCTGCGTCAAACAGCGACCCTCCTATGATATCTTCGAGGATTCAGATGACTCAGACCCTTGTAGTCCTCCTGCTCCTCGTCGTCGGACCCCCAGAGAAAATGGTACAAACATTTGATACTTTCTCTGTCAGTCTTGCGTCTTTGTTGTTTTGTTTTTTAGATTTTTTTTTTTTCCCCAGTGTTGGGGATGGAATTTAGGGCTTCATGCTTCATGCATGCAAGGCAAGCATTGTACCACTGAGTTATACTCCCAGCCCATTTGTTGTCTTGTGTGGAAAAGACAGAGCTCTCAGACCAAGAGCCCTATCAGTCTATCTAAGAGGGTGACTGAGGGCAAAAAAGAGGCAGTTTTAGTGGTCATGTAGAATTTGTGTGTGAGCTTTTGATGGAGCTTACTGAGCAAGGATCATTGTTTTATGTTTCAGTTATCAAGAGAAGGCCTTGGGAAACTAGGTAGTTTTGGGAGGTTGTAGAAGAAAGTAGAGATGAGGCATGGAAGGGAAGGACCTCACTGCTTCTGTGTCCTTCCCAGAGCTACCAGCGCCAGAACCAGAGGAGCAGAGCCGACCCCGCAAACCCACTTTGCAGCCTGTATTGCAGCTAAAAGCCCGAAAGCGCCTGGACAAGGTCAGCAGGCCCACTCCTAGGATGCTGAGTGCCATGGGAGGCATGGCTTCTGCCCTCCAGGTGCTACCTGGCAAATCAGAGTGACATATGCACCTCAGTATCATCAAGTGTCCACACCCAGAGGACATACCCTGAGGGATGAGGCAGACTTTGCCTATCTGGAAAACAAAGTGGGATTTGGGCAAAAGGCAGAGTCCCATGGGCTGGGGGAAAGACAATGTGGTGAGGAGTGTGTAGAGAGGCTGGTGCTGGAGCCTTTGACTAGCCCTACGTCCCTCCCTAGGATGCTTTGGGCCCTGGCCCCTTTGCCTCTTTTCCCAATGGCTGGACTGGAAAACAGAAGTCCCCAGATGGTGTACACCGGGTCCGTGTGGATTTTAAGGTATGATAGTGGAAATTGCAGGACTTGTGGTTGGAAGAAATTTGTTGGTGTCAAGAGCAGCAAGGATTTTAAGGATGGATCTGACTTGTGTTCTTTGCTGTCCTCCAATCCTATGTCCTTTCTTTCTCTAGGAGGATTGTGACCTAGAGAATGTGTGGCTGATGGGTGGCCTGAGTGTGCTCACTTCTGTGCCAGGAGGGCCACCAATGGTATGCTTGTTGTGTGCCAGCAAAGGCCTACATGAGGTTGGTGCTTTGCCTTTTTGTACAGACCCCCAGCCTCCACTGACCCTTCCTGATTTTTCGAATAGGTCTTAACTGCTGGCCTTCTGGCCTAACACCGTGCCCATCATTTGCTCTCTTCACTCCTGTCCCTAGCTGGTGTTCTGCCAGGTCTGCTGTGATCCTTTCCACCCATTCTGCTTGGAAGAGGCTGAACGGCCCCTACCCCAACATCATGACACCTGGTGTTGCCGCCGCTGCAAATTCTGCCATGTCTGTGGACGTAAAGGCAGGGGATCCAAGGTCTGGACACGCAGGCTAGCCTGAGGGAAGGGAAGGCATAAAGGTGGGGGATCCATGTGCCAGTAGATCTTGCAATTGTCTCTCACAAACATCCCACAGCACCTCCTGGAGTGTGAGCGCTGCTGCCATGCTTACCACCCGGCCTGCCTGGGCCCCAGCTACCCAACCCGGGCCACGCGCAAACGACGCCACTGGGTGAGCGGAAAGGCCCACACCCCACATTGGTATTCTCATTATACCATTACCACCCCCAGACTTGCTCTAGATAAGGGCTCTCGGGAAGAAGGCTTTGGAGGTTTCTTTGAGAAAGTTGTAACTGTTTTCTTCTGAGGATTTTTACATAGGCAAGATTTAGGTGCAGTTTGATATAATGGTTCACGAACTTGTATTTTCCATGTTCTAAGACTTAGAATCCCTTGCTCTAGCCCAGTAGAGGTGAACCTGTGGCGTGTGTGCCTTCCCTGTTTATTGTTTTTGAAATCTCTAAAGGTTCTCCGTCACCACTTTAGCTTTATATGGATTCCTTTCTCATCTTCCTCCTTTTTTTGCAGGACTTCTTTTTTCCTCTTATTTTTCTTTCCTCATCTGTTTTCCTGCAATTCTCTCTGCCTATATTCTCCATTGTATTGCTCCAATTAGATGTCTGGGTTGTAACATTTCCCTCCTTCCTCAGATCTGTTCAGCCTGTGTGCGCTGCAAGAGCTGTGGGGCAACTCCTGGCAAGAACTGGGATGTCGAGTGGTCTGGAGATTACAGCCTCTGCCCCAGGTGCACCCAGCTCTATGAGAAAGGTGGGACTGGGCAGGGGAATGTTGCAGGGGCCATCCCGGAGTGGGCCAGGCTCCTGACTTTAAGGCAGGGCCTCTTCCAGTGTTAGAATAAATATTCTCATGGCTTTTTCTGCCTGTAGAACTTTTTCCTTGGTTCAGAGCAACTTTTCAAATAACTATCAGTATACATATAAGACTACACAAAATCCCTCACTGGGTAGTGAAAGTTGAGGGCTTGAGACTCCACTGTTTGGGCTCCGCTGGGTAGTTGGAAAACCAGTACGTTCTTCGTTTGTTACAGCAGCATATTTATGAAGGTCACGTTATTTGAAAGGTATTAGGAACCTAGAGTTAGAAGCTATGTTCTCAACGGGCTTTTCAGGAGCCATAGGGACCCAACATAGAAATATAATGGGAACAGCAGACAAGACATGATCAGCCACCGAAAGGGGAGTATAAGTTATTGGAAGTAACTGTAATCCCTTCCTATCTGCCATCTCTTTTTCCTCCAGGAAACTACTGCCCAATCTGCACACGCTGCTATGAAGACAACGACTATGAGAGCAAGATGATGCAGTGTGCACAGTGTGATCACTGGGTACATGCCAAGTGTGAGGGGCTCTCAGGTGAGTAGGCAGAGTAACTGGGCTGCAGCCTCAGCCCAGGGCAGTAGTGGCAGACCTACAGCACACATGCCCCAGAAAGCTACTTGTTATCTTTGAAAGCTCTAAAAGACTTACCATTACTGACCTAGGCGATCCCTACTCTGCCCTCACTCCAGATCACTCAATCATAAGTAGACTAAATGTCTTTGATAGCCTAGGGTAGTGGTGGCGAATCTATGGCATGAGTGCCACAGCTGGCTTTCTTATCATTGGAAGATTCACTGTCATTGACTTAGGAGCTTTTAGGAGCCCTCACATTCTCACAATTTTTTTTTTTTTTTCCTACCCTGCTGTTTAGATGAAGATTATGAGATCCTTTCAGGGCTACCAGATTCGGTGCTGTACACATGCGGACCATGTGCTGGGGCCACACAGCCCCGCTGGCGAGAGGCCCTGAGTGGGGCCCTGCAGGGGGGCCTACGTCAGGTGCTCCAGGGCCTGCTGAGCTCAAAGGTGGCAGGCCCACTGCTGCTGTGCACCCAGGTCTGGAGGCTGAGTGAGGCAGGATGGGTGGGGCTGGGCCCAGCATTGGCCCTGCTGACTTCTCTCACTTGCAGTGTGGACAGGATGGGAAGCAGCTACACCCAGGGCCCTGCGATTTGCAAACTGTGGGTCAGCGCTTTGAGGAAGGCCACTACAAGTCTGTGGTGAGTAGGACATGGGGAGAAGCAGGTGGGTGCCAAGAGGAGAGGGCAGGGCTAGATCTTGGGGTTGGAGTTGGGGCTCAGACCCTGACAAACCCCGTTACAGCACAGCTTTATGGAGGACATGGTAAGCATCTTAATGAGGCACTCCGAAGGAGAAACTTCAGAACGCCGGGCTGGAAGCCAGATGAAGGGGCTCCTATTAAAGGTGAGCTCTAAGGGAGATGTCTGTAGGGTGGTTTGAGTAGCATTGGGGTGGGGAGAGTGGATTTTTCAGACCACATCCTTACCAGTGCTTCAGAGAAGCCAGTTCTCATCCTGTTAATCTACTCCCCAGCTGCTAGAATCTGCGTTCGGCTGGTTCGACGCCCATGACCCCAAGTACTGGCGACGGAGTACCCGGCTACCAAAGTGAGCAAGGCTGGGTAGCAGGAGGGGAACCAGGGAGTAAGGGCAACAGCAGAGGCACTTGGAAGTCCAGGCACCTGGGAGTCTTTGGGCTGAGAACAGATGGGGTACAGTTAGGATTGAGGCTGGAGAGGAGAGTGGCAAAACTGGATTGAGGTTCCACAGTCGCCCTAGACCAGCTGGCCCAGCTTGTGCAGCTATTTTGTCCACACCTGTGCAAAGCAGTGGGAGACAGCAGTAAGCAAGTAAGGTTGGACTCTGCTTAGAGAGCTTATGTCTGGGGCATGGGCAGGCACGAGTGACCCAAATGGTTAGAGTGGTGATCAGGAATCCCAGGGGTCTCTGGAACCCAAACGAGGAACCTGCTATCACCTAGGGTCAGAAACCATTTCCTAGAAGAAAACATTTGAGCTGAATGGTGGAAGTATTTCAGACATAACAACACTTCCTATGTGAAAGTTGGCACAGAGGGCTTGGCCTGTTTGGAGCATTGAGAAATTCCACGTGAAGAGAAGATGAAGGGTGTCCTGACATGTTTAGGCTGGTTTTGTGGGCGGGCCCCAATCCTGCTGCCCTTGTTAAACATGACAGCTGCTAACCCTGCCTATCCACAGCGGAGTGCTGCCTAATGCGGTGTTGCCCCCATCCCTGGACCATGTCTATGCTCAGTGGAGACAGCAGGAATCAGAGACCCCAGAATCAGGGCAGCCTCCAGGTGATCCCTCAGCAGGTATTGGAATGTGGGAGCCAGAAGCCAGTGCCTCTGAGTAGGTGGACCAGGCTCCAGATCCTGATTTTTGGATTTACTTTTATCCAGCTTTTCAAGGCAAGGATCCAGCTGCTTTCTCCCACATAGAGGACCCTCGTCAGTGTGCACTCTGCCTCAAATACGGGGATGCAGACTCCAAGGTGAGGCTGCTGTATAAAATTCAAGATTGTGGGGCCTGCTTCTCAGAGCATCCCTATCACACCACTCTTCTTTTGTCCCCAGGAGGCAGGGAGGCTTCTGTACATTGGACAGAATGAGTGGACACATGTCAATTGTGCCATTTGGTCAGCCGAAGTGTTTGAGGAGAATGATGGCTCTCTCAAGAACGTGCATGCTGCTGTGGCTCGTGGGAGGCAGATGGTGAGGCCTGGGCCTGACAGGGGCAGCCATCAGGCTGTCCTTTGAGAGACAGCTCTCATTTCATTGTTCCTACCAGATCATGTCTTGTTTTTCTTTTCAAAGCACTTGGTTGATAGGTGATAGCATTTTTTCTCTGTGGAAAACTTAAATTTAAATGTCCTGCCATATTTGGCTGTGCAGCTCAAGACCACAAAAGGTAGACACCCTCTTACTTGACTAGCGCTGTATGTTTTCCACACTATGGTATTTTGCTATATCACTGTGCCCTGGTGAAAAGAGGCATTGCCTGGCTTAAATCCCCCACTTGGTCTGGGGTCTGGGGTGGGTCATGGAGAGTATTCAGCATGAATGTAGAGATACTGATTGGGGATAGTTACAAAATCTGAATAGAGTAAATCAGGTTTCATGTTGGAACAGTCTTTAGAAGGTGGTAAATGCCATAACTGTTATCTTTCCCCTGTAAAAAAAAAAAATTGAGGGGCTGGTGAGGTGGCTCAGTGGTCTAAAGCACCTATTTAGAACAAGCTTAGCAAAGCACAGGGACTGCAGTTCAATCCCCCAGCACCACATGCCAGCCAGCCCCGCCCCCTGGTGGGCTGAGCTGGCCACACACACACACACACACACACACAAAAAAAAATAAATAAAAAATAAAGATTGAAAAAAAAAATTTGAAATAGCCAGGTATAGTCACACATCTGGAATCCCAGCATCTCAGGAGGCCAAAACAGGATGATCGCAACTTAGTGTGAACGTGTCTCAGAAAATTTCAAAAGGACTGGGAATAGAGCCCAGTGAGAGGCCCTGGTTTCATTCTCCAGTACTATTAAAAAAAAAAAAAGACTAGGTTTGAGCCCAGCCTGAAACTTTAGCAACTTATTGAGACCTTATCTCATAATAAAACATAAAAGGGGCTAGTGATGTAGCTCAGTGCAAGGCCCTGGGTTCAACTCCAGTACTGCAAAAAAATAAATGAAGGAGAAGATGGGATATAACTCATTGCTTCCTGGGCTCAATCTCTGTTCTTCCCCCTAAAAAGCCCCAAAATGTAGTTGTGTACCAGGCCTTGGATCCATTTAGAGGAGGTTTTGCTTGGTGAGAGCCTTGTTGTGCAAAATGCTGGGGGTGGAGAAGCTAAGCAGAGTCTTAGAGTTAGCAGTGCCAGGTGCCAGACCCTGGCCCCCATTCCTGGCTTGTCCCTCAGCAGCCCCTTCCCTATGCAGCGCTGTGAACTCTGTCTGAAGCCTGGAGCCACAGTGGGCTGTTGCCTGTCCTCCTGCCTCAGCAACTTTCACTTCATGTGTGCCCGGGCCAGCTACTGCATCTTCCAGGATGACAAGAAAGTTTTCTGCCAGAAACACACAGACCTCCTAGATGGCAAGGTGGGCCAGGGGGCTAGGGGGACAGCTGCCCATTGCTCTGTCAGTGTCCCCTCTTTGTGTGCTTTCCCACAACCCTGTAGGCCAAGCTCTTGGCCATTCGAGCTTTGCCTACAGAGCTTTTCCCTCATGTCCCCTACACAGTTTACCAATCCAGCAAACCCATTTGCCTCCTATTTTCCAGGAGATTGTGACCCCCGACGGTTTTGATGTTCTCCGCCGAGTCTATGTGGACTTTGAAGGCATTAACTTCAAGCGAAAGTTCTTGACAGGGCTTGAGCCTGATGCCATCAATGTGCTCATTGGTAAGCCACTTGCTTTCTCCCTTCTCTTGCCAATCTTGCCTGGCCTACACCTGACCTCTCTTGTACACTGTAGGCTCCATTCGAATTGACTCCCTGGGTACTCTGTCTGATCTCTCGGACTGCGAGGGACGGCTTTTTCCTATTGGCTACCAGTGAGCAGTCCATGGGTGTTTGGTGGGGTTGGGGAATGCCTGGGCTGGATCCCATTTCCCAAGTTATTTTAACATTCTTGTCCCACATGTCTGCCTGCCAGGTGCTCCCGTCTGTACTGGAGCACAGTGGATGCTCGGAGGCGCTGCTGGTATCGGTGCCGAATTCTAGAGTATCGGCCATGGGGGCCAAGGGAAGAGCCTGTTCACCTGGAAGCAGCAGAGGAGAACCAGACCATTGTGCACAGCCCTACCTTTTCCTTAGGTAGGGCTTGATACTACCTCTTTCTCTTCCCTGAGTGCTGAACTCACCAACCCCTATCCCTGCTCTACTGAAGAAACTCCAAAACACTTGTTACTCTTTCATTTGTTGTAAAGTAATAAGAGAAACTTACTGGCTGTGTGTTGTGTGCCCAGGGGCTGTGCTTGGGCACAGTCATAGGAAGTAAAGAGGGGAAGAGAGTCAGGCTGAGGGGAATGGTGACCTGCTGCAGCTATGGGGCGCAAAGAAAGTATGGCTACCTGACAGGCTACATGCTTAGGTGATTCCCTAGTCCTCTGGGAGAAGGTACAAGCTCTGTTGTATTGCACTCCAGGGGGATAGCGACCAAAAACAAAAAGGGCCAGGCATGGTGGCACAGATCCTGATTGCAGGACTCTCAGCATTTGGGGGGCTGAAGTAGGAGTATCACCATGAGTTCAAGTTGAGCCTGAACTACATAGTTAAGTTCAAGGCCAGCTTGAGCTACAAAGTGAGACCTTCTCTCAAAAAAAACAGGGGTGCCTGGACACTTGCTCTTTGCAGTAGCATAGCATAGAACCAGGATTTTAACCTGGATCTGCTCATTTCCCAACTCACTTTTGCAGCCATGCTAGCAGTGAGCTAGGTGGCACAGAGCAAAGAATAGAGTTGGAGGTTAGTAAAGGGAGAGCACATTGTGGGCCCCCTTGGGGAATTTGGTTCTTATTGGTGGGTGACAGCTTTGTTCTAAGTTGGAGAATAACCTGAATTAGAAAACAGAGGAGGGTGCATCCAACATAGCTGCAGACAAAGTGTTGGGTGGAGGAGCAGAGATCAGCTTGCAGAGACTGGGAGAGGCCAGGTTAAAGCCTTGAGTGCCAAGATGGGAAAGAATCCTTTGATGGGGAAGGGATGTACAGAGCAAGTAAGAAAGTGGTAGGATTGGCCATTCTGGACAGGGGGCGTTGGCACTTGTGGCATGTGGGTATGCCTCAGAAGCATGGGTGGCCAGGATACAGGGACATGGCAGGGGATGGGTCACAGAGGTCATGAAGAGACCTGACTCAGGTATATGTACAGTTGTAGATGCTCTTAATAGGGTTTGGAGCCCAGGTGGTGACTGGACATTAATCTGTGTTGTGACTGAGTCAGGGTCTGTATGGTCATTTGACTGAAGGGAGGCACCTGATGGAAGACTTTAATGAAGAGTGCCTGCCACCCCTGATACAGTTCTCTTGGCTCTTCAGAGACCCCAGATCACGAGGACCCCTCTCCAGATACAGATGCCCTAATCCTTGGAGCTCCTGAGCACCACTCGCCTGTTCAAAATCTGGACCCCCCACTTCGGCCAGATTCAAGCAGTGCTCCTCCTCCTGCCCCACGCTCCTTCTCAGGGGCTCGAATCAAAGTGCCCAACTACTCGCCATCACGGAGGCCCTTGGGGGGAGTCTCCTTTGGCCCCCTGCCCTCCCCTGGTGAGCATTTGGGAATAGCCAGGGGAGGGTGGGACTGGGGAGGCTGGAACTGCTGGCTGAGATTGACCCTTTCCCCCACAGGAAGTCCTTCTTCTCTGACCCACCACATCCCTACAGTGGGAGACCCAGACTTCCCAGCTCCCCCGAGACGCTCCCGTCGTCCTAGCCCCCTTACCCCCAGGCCACCACCATCACGACGGACCTCCCCACCTCTCAGAACCTCCCCTCAGCTCAGGGTGCCCCCTCCTACCTCAGTTGTTACAGTCCTCACACCTACCTCAGGGGAGCTGGCTCCCCCTGGCCTGGCCCCATCTCCTCCACCACCCCCTGAAGACCTGGGCCCAGACTTTGAGGACATGGAGGTGGTATCAGGACTGAGTGCTGCTGACCTGGACTTTGCAGCCAGCTTGCTAGGGACTGAGCCCTTCCAGGAAGAGATTGTGGCCGCTGGGGCAGTGGGGAGCAGCCATGGGGGCCAAGGGGACAGCTCAGAGGAGGAAGCCAGCCCCACCACCCGATATGTTCACTTCCCTGTGACAGTAGTATCTGGCCCTGCCCTGGGCCCTGGCCCCCTCCCTGGAGCCCCCCGAATTGAGCAGCTGGATGGAGTGGATGATGGCACAGACAGTGAAGCGGAGGCAGTCCAGCAGCCCCGAGGCCAAGGGACTCCTCCTTCAGGGCCAGCAGTGGGCCGAGCTGGGGTCATTGGGGCTGCAGGTGATAGGGCCCGGCCTCCTGAGGACCTGCCATCAGAAATTGTGGATTTTGTTTTAAAGAACATAGGGGGTCCTGGGGAGGGGGCTGCTGGTCCCAGGGAAGAGTCTCTTCCCCCAGCACCTCCCCTGGCCAATGGCAGCCAGGCACCTCAAGCCCTGCCCCCTAGCCCAGCAGACCCTACCCGGACTTTTGCCTGGCTCCCTGGGGCCCCAGGGGTCCGGGTGTTAAGCCTGGGCCCTGCTCCTGAGCCCCCTAAACCTGCTACATCTAAAATCATCCTTGTCAACAAGCTGGGGCAAGTATTTGTGAAGATGGCTGGGGAAGGTGAACCTGTCCCAGCCCCAGTAAAGCAGCCACCTCTGCCCCCCACCATTCCCCCTGCAGCCCCCACTTCCTGGACTCTGCCCCCAGGACCCCTACTTGGGGTGTTGCCAGTGGTAGGAGTAGGTGTGGTCCGCCCTGCCCCTCCACCTCCACCTCTCACACTGGTGTTTAGCAGTGGGCCCCCCAGCCCACCCCGCCAGGCCATCCGTGTCAAGAGGGTATCCACCTTCTCTGGCCGTTCCCCCCCAGCACCTCCTCCAAGTAAAACTCCCCGACTGGATGAAGAGGGGGAGTCTTTGGAGGACACACCCCAAGTTCCAGGGCTCAGCAACAGTGGGTAAGTGAGTGTGCTGAGGACAGGACAGCAGGCCAGGGAAGGGCAAGAGAAGCAGCTCAGCCTTCTGGTTATACCTCCCCCAGGTGTAGCCGAGTGAGGATGAAAACACCTACAGTGCGTGGAGTTCTTGACCTGGATAATGTTGGGAAGGAAAGCCTTGGGTAAGTGGCCAGGCCCCTTTTCTTGGAGGGGCCGATAGAGCTGTGGGACCTCCATCCCTTTTTCCCTCCTGACAGGTCTCTCCTTACAGGCCCTTTCAGGAACGATCCCCTTTGCTGCCACTTCCAGAAGGTGGTCCTCCTCGGGCCCCTGATGGTCCCTCAGACCTGCTGCTTGAGTCATGGCATCACTATTCAGGTAGGGACCAGCTGCTTTTCACTTTCTTCCTTATGTGCTGCTGAGCTCAGATGGGTGACTGACAAATTCAAAGCAGGTTCATTTTTAAAAATAGCCATAAAAAAAAAAGTAAGCCAGGCATGGTAGCACACACCTGTGATCCCTGCACTAAGGAGACTGAGACAGGAGGATTGCTGTGAGTTAGAGGCCAGTCTGGTCTGCAGTGGGAGTTCAAGGATAGCCCAAACTGCACAGCATGACCCTATGTCAAAAAAAAAAAACAACCACAGAGTACACTCCAGGGTCCAACAATGTAGCTCAGGAGTAGAGGATCCTTGGATTCAATCCCAAGTATTCAAAAGAAAAATAAAAGAGTGGGCATACTCCTGAGGCTAGTTGCTGGAGTCAGAGGTGCTGGGAAGTTCATGGCCTTGTGGCACAAGTGACGTTTCAGCTTTATGTTCAAGTACACTGACAGTGCTTTGGCCAGCATGTCCAAGAGTCTAGGAGACTAGATTAGAGTGTAGTCTAACAGGGTCAGGGGCATGGGTTCCTTCCAAAGCCAAGGATGAAGTTCTGGGGATCATCCAGAGTCTGGAACCCTCTAGGATCCCGATGAGGGGCAGAACAGTAGGAGATGAGAGGAAAGGTATCCCCAAAGCCAAAGGGTATGGGCTAGTCCCAGCTGCCACATAGCATCAGGCCTGGGGAGTTCAGGACCAGTGTGGTATGAGCAGGTGGTGCAGGGTGGGGAGGAGGCTGTGTCAAGAGTTGAGAATTTAAGACGGTGTGGGTGAGGCAGCTCATCCCACAGTGCAGCTGAGAACTAGGAAGAAGAGATGGGGCAGCAGTATAACCATGCTGGGCATGAGGGCTGACAGCCTGGTCGAGGGTGGGAAGGAAGGAGTGCTCATGGAGGGGCAAGGGTGTAGGGGGTAACAGGTTGGTCAGTTTTTTTTTTTTTTTTTTTTTTTTAATTGGCAGAACCGGGGATTGAACTCAGGCCCTTGTGCTTGCCAGGGAAGCACTTATTCTACTGAGCCATCTCCCCAGCCCCCAAAAAATGGCGGAACCAGAGATTGAACTCAGGGCCTTGCGCTTGCCAGGGAAGCACTTATTCCACTGAGCCATCTCATTGGCCCCGGTTGGTCAGTTTTGAACAGGCTTTTGAACTAGGAAAAAAGATGTATGGGAGGTTCATATACAGAAATTGGGGCCCACATAGAGATACTAAAAAGATTTTTTGCTACCATGTGGTGAAGCTGGAAGGGTGTTGGTCTCAGAAAGTGGTTAGAGTAGGAGCAGCAGGTAAGCTGGGGGTTCAGTGTTCTTCTGGCTCGGGATTTGTAATGGCTCAATTCTGTCCAGGTATTCGGATTTTCTTTTTTTTTTTTTTTTTTTTTTTTTTTTTTTTCAGAGCTGGGGATTGAACTCAGGCCCTTGAGCTTGCCAGGCAAGCGCTTATTCAACTGAGCTATCTCCCCAGCCTCTTGGATTTTCTAATTACACACTGCTTAGCTCCTGAGCCCAAAGTAGAGGGAGGTAGCCTGAGACTGCTCTACTGAGAGGCTGCTTATGTGGTCAGACAGCATGAGGATGTATGTGGCAGTGACTGTGACAGATAGGTTCCTGCCCTTAGGAACCAAGCCAAGTTTTGATAGGAAAAACAAACACATCTGTTGTGTGGTACAAGTGCGCAATATTTGAAAACAAGCAACAGGAGAGTGCCTAGGTAAGGGCCCTGCAGCAGCCCCATTGTGTTTGGAAAACAGAGTTGTAGCAGGGAAAGAGAACAGAAGTTAGAGATGAACCCTTCTGTGCTGAGCACTGGAGGTGACATTAGGCACACAACAGTCTGGTTCAGGGTCTCACTTGGGGCTTTGGGAAGGATCTGTGTGCACAGTGGCCCTGAGACATGATGATCTGTGGACTGTGTCCCAGTGAACCTGCTCTCCTACATTATGTTCTCCTTGAGCCAGGGATATAGCTCAGCAGCATAAGAGCCTGCCTGGCAAACGCAAGGTCCCCAGTTCAATCCCTAGCTTTCCCTAAACTATTTTTTTTTTATTTTATTTTTTTTGGCGGAACCAGGGATTGAACTCAGGTCCTTGCACTTGCCAGGGAAGCGCTTATTCCACTGAGCCATCTCCCAAGCCCTACTTTCCCTAAACTAGAGAAAAAGCTAACCACCCTGGGTCCCCCTACGCCTTTGCTCCTCCATGACCACTGCTTCCCTCTCTCTCTTTTTTTTTTTTTAAATTTTTTATTTTTTTAATTTTTAATTTTTTTTTTCCCCTGGCTGAACCAGGGATTGAACTCAGGCCCTTGCACTTAACCAGGGAAGTGCTTATTCTGCTGAGCCATCTCCCTGGCCCCTCCTCTCACTCTTGACCTTGCTATCTCAGCCCTCATGCCTAGCATGGTTACTCTGCTGCCCCATCTCTCCCTCCTATGCCCCATGTTCTCCTCTAGCTTTTGCCCCTCCCCCCAATCCTATATACAGTGGTCAGCCCTCAGCCTGTCACCTGTGATGGGTAAAGCTAACTCCTGCTTCCTCAAGACAAGACCCCCACTCTCCTCTTACCTCAGTCATGCCTCCTTTGTCCAACCTGCCAATTTTAGTGTATCTGGTGTTCTGGCTATGATTTCTCTTTTCCCCCAGATACTTTCTTGCACATTGAAAGCTGAAATCTTATCTGTATTCTGATAAGTCCCCACATTGTTCTCTCCAGCCCAGACCTCAGCCCTGGGCTCCAGGCTCCTACATTCTGCTATCTCACCAGCTCCACCAGCAGGTTGTAGGAGGGGGATCTTCTAAAGGGCATTCCAAAATCAACATGTTCCAAACTGAGAGCTTGATCTTCACTGCAAACTTGTTCCTTCCTTCCCCTCACCGTTGCAGTCAGTGGCAGTTTTATATTTCCCTTGTTCAAACCCAAATTTCTGAATTGTCCTTGACTACTGCTCTTTTTGTCAAAACCACACCTATACATGAGCAAGTCCTCTCTACTCCATGTTGAAAATTTCTTAATCCCTGGGAAGTCCTTGAAGTGGTTCATAACTTAGTAGACACTTCACTGTACTTGGTACTATATATACAAACCTGTATGCTGTGTATTTATAATATTTCTAGAAATGTACAGCTGAGCATGATAGCACACACCTGTAGGTTCAACAACTCAGGAGGCTTAGATGGAAAGATTACTTGAGCTTGGGAGTTCAAGACCAGCCTGGGCAACATAGTGAGAGCCCATCTCAAAGAAGTAAAAAGAATTTACTACATATAGGACTAGATGAATATATCAGTAATAGAGGTCCTGACTATGTGTACCAAGCCCTAGGTTTCATCCCAACACCATAAAAAAAAAAGGAAAAATATATTTATTACATAAAAAAAATTCCTTGCACACATACAATGCTGTAGTGTTTTGGTTTTTTATTTTCCCTTTGGAACCCGGGAATGAACTCAGGCCCTTGCACTTGCCAGGGAAGCGCTTATTCCACTGAGCCATCTCCCTGTCCCCTGTAGTGTTTTTTGTTTTTATTTTCCTGGTACTGGGGAATAAACCTAACACTGTTTTGTTTTTGTTTTTGAGACAAGATATGCTATATAGTTCAAGCTGGTTCTAAACTCACTGTGTAGCCCAGGCTGGCCTCAAACTCATGGTAATCCTCCTGCCTCAGCCTCACCAAGCCCAATGCAGGCATGTTTTTATATTTTAATACAAGGTCTCGATAAGTTACTAAATTGTCAGAGCTGGATGAGCATTTAGGATCCTTGTACTTCAGTTTCCCAGAACACTAGATTATAGGTGTGTGCTAACACTGTGGCTAGCCAGTACTTTTATGTGAGAAGCAGAATAATTGTGTGTAGATAGACATTTAAGAGTACGCTGAGTTTGAGTAAGCCATCGGTGTGGCCTATAGAGCCCAAAGGAACACTTCATTCCTCAAGAACCTCATCTTACAACCCAAACATCCTACAGAAGAAAAACTGGCAGCTCCTTGGGAAAAACCATGTCTATTCTACTCACTGGGCAGTTGGAGCTGGAGGAGAGCCATTAGACCCCAGTGTCTGCTGTGTCTGGTGGCAGTGTGGGGGAAGAATGGTGTCTGGGGAGCTGGGATCTTTTGAGTTTATGTGAGGTGGTGCTCTCCTACTCTTACTCACTGGACCAGGTGAAGCCTCGAGTTCTGAGGAAGAGCCTCCATCTCCAGAGGATAAAGAGAACCAGGTTCCAAAACGGGCTGGCCCACATCTACGCTTTGAGATCACCAGTGAGGATGGCTTCAGTGTGGAGGCAGAAAGCTTGGAGGGTGAGTTGGGAGTAGCTGTGGCAGGAGAGAAAGTGTCCCTTCAGACCCCATCCTGACTTTGCTATGGGCTTATCTTCACTCTAGGGGCATGGAGAACTCTGATTGAGAAAGTACAAGAGGCCCGAGGACATGCTCGGCTCAGACATCTCTCCTTTAGTGGTATGTAGTGATCCACAAGGTCACGGTGGCTGGTATCATTTTCCCTACCCTCTTCCATATAATCTGCATGTCCTCAACTTCTCTCCTCAGGAATGAGTGGGGCAAGGCTCTTGGGCATCCACCATGATGCTGTCATCTTCCTGGCAGAACAGCTACCTGGGGCCCAGCGCTGCCAACACTATAAATTCCGATACCACCAGCAGGGGGAGGGCCAGGAAGAGCCCCCCCTGAATCCTCATGGAGCTGCCCGTGCTGAGGTCTATCTCCGGTGAGAGGGCTGGGGAGCCCTGTGGGGATCCTCAAGGGTAGGATATAAGTCTAGACAGATCGAAAGCAAGACATTAGGACACTCCAAGAGTTAGTTACTCTGCAGTTCACATGAGAAGATTGAACCCCACTCTTTGCTCCTTTGTGTCTTCAACAGCATAGCCCTCCTACAGTGCTAAACCCAGACCCCAGATTGATAGGCAGTGTGTCCTTGAAGGAGTGGCTGTGACCCTTCCTCCTTTTTTTCCCCTCTCACCTTCAGGAAGTGTACCTTCGACATGTTCAATTTCCTGGCCTCCCAGCACCGGGTGCTCCCAGAAGGGGCCACCTGTGATGAGGAAGAGGATGAGGTGCAGCTCAGGTCAACCAGGTAAGGAGGGAAAGCAGGGGAGCTGGGAGTGGCCTGAAGAGTCCTAAAGAGAGTGAGCAAAAGTGAGAGGTCATTCCTGGATACCAGCCTATGTGACACTGCTCCCCTACCAGACGTGCCACCAGCCTGGAGCTGCCCATGGCCATGCGCTTTCGCCACCTCAAGAAGACATCCAAAGAAGCTGTGGGTGTTTATAGGTTAGTGGGGTTGGGGGGATGCCCCTTGGGCTGATGGACAGTGTTCTGGTCAGGGGCTGCCTGGGGTCTGTCCCCCTACCCCCTGAGGTCCTCCTTGTCCATCCTACCCTACAGATCAGCTATCCATGGACGAGGCCTGTTCTGTAAACGCAACATTGATGCTGGCGAGATGGTCATTGAATACTCTGGCATTGTCATTCGCTCTGTGCTGACTGACAAGCGGGAGAAGTTCTATGATGGGAAGGTGGGCTCCACAGGCCATGGTAACAAGGTAGGGGAGGTGGGCTGCCCATGTGGACAAAGTACCTGATTCCCTCACCCATTCTGTAGGGCATCGGGTGCTACATGTTCCGCATGGATGACTTTGATGTGGTGGACGCCACAATGCATGGCAATGCCGCCCGCTTCATCAATCACTCATGTGAGCCCAACTGCTTCTCTCGTGTCATCCATGTGGAAGGCCAGAAGCACATCGTCATCTTTGCTTTGCGCCGCATCCTGCGTGGCGAGGAGCTCACCTATGACTACAAGTTCCCCATCGAGGATGCCAGCAACAAGCTCCCCTGCAACTGTGGCGCTAAGCGCTGCCGTCGATTCCTTAACTAGGGTTGTGGCTGCTTGCCACAATTCCTCAAGCCCCCCAATGCCATCTTGTCCCTGGCCTGGGGGGTCCCTAGTCCTTCCCAGAGCATCTCACTCCCACCTTTCCGTTCAGGGTGGATGTGGGCATGCAGTTGGCAAGGGCCCTGCCCCAACCCTTTAGCCCACCTAGCAATCACCCCCTTCCTGCCTTGGGGCCCAGGATGTAGATATTGTACAAAGGTTTCTAAATCCCTTCTTTTCTATGCACTTTTTTATTTAAGAGGGTGGGGTCCCAGGTGCGAACCCCCCCACAATAAAGCCTGTCAATGTTTGGAGAGGTGGTCTTTGCATTTGTACAGTGCTTAGGGCAGGTAGGAACTCTCACTTCTCCATGCCCCTCGCCCTTCCTCAACCAAGGAAGTCTCAGCCTCACAGTAGGTGTGAGGCAGTCATGAGAATTAGAAGTGAACTGTGGAGTTTCTGAAGGCTGCGGAGCAAGAAGTGTTTATATTCTAATATGCTTGAATAGCTAGTAGGTAAAATAGACATTTCTGGGCAAGGAGAAGGGGGATGCTAGGTCAGTTAGGGTTGTGCTTTGAGAAGCCCCTTAGTGGGTGCAGAGGCAACAGACATTTGTTTCAAAAGAAACTTTAGGCCCCGCAGATCCCACATCAGCCAAGCCTGGACAGCACCTGCAGTACATCTGCCTGTCCTGGCTTGGCCCAGGTGCTCACCCCACTGGTCCAGAGTGGCAGATTGTTCCCTTACCACCCCAGTCTCATTCAGGCCTCACAACAAGCAACTGGACTGCAGGGAGTAGGCAGAGGTGAGCCAGGCAGCCCATATCTTGCAGGGAGGTGCTGAGAGGTACCAGAGGCCATGCCACCACCAGGCCCAGTCTCAGGGTCCAGCAGCAGCACAATCAGCTCCTCCAGCTCATCCAAGAAAGGACATAGGGGCTGTCTAAACCTTCCAGCTCTGGGCGACAGGCCGGAGGAATAAAGGGAAAGACATTTTTCAGCTCCCCCCCCCCCATGTCTCTCCCCACCTTACCCATGTTCAAGAGTGCGGTCAGAGGCACTTTTCCTGTATGTCGTATCTCAAAAGTACCTGAGGAGGCTGAGTGCAAGAAGAGGGTATAGATACTGGGGTCTCTTCCAAGCAAGCTAGCATCGGGAGGGGAAGTGACTTTTCCCTTGCACTAGTAGTGGCTGCCGCAGGGAGCAGGTTAGGAGTAGGACCAGCACCTAGGGCAGAACAAAGTGCGGTGGAGAGATACTGCTCCGAGTTGTCCACAAGAGATGAACTCTGGTGAGTTCCAGGCACATGGATGCCTGCAATGTAGAGCTCCGTTTTCTTCAGCGGTTGGGGAACAGAACCCCTTGGCGGGGACAGTTCTGGTAAGAAGCCACACCCTGCTTCCTCCCCATCCACCTGCCCGTTTCCCACCTTCACATCCTTCACTGGGGCGTAGTCCCTTCCGACCTTCCAGCCCAAACCACTACCTTAATACAGGCCCTCTTCAACCACTTTGGCACACCCATATTCCCTTTTCCTGGATCCAGCCCACTCTCATGGATACCAACCGATGTCCCCGTCCCGCCCCGCCTCCTGCGGACCCTGGCCCAGCCCTCCTAAGTGGGACCCAGCACCTCCACCGTGCTGCTGGTCCAGGTACTGGGCCCAGGAGTGGCGGACAGGGCTCTACTGTTACAGGTGATACACAGCTCTACGAAGTCAGGCTTGCACTGTCCAGAACACTTTTAGAATGGGTGTGTCAAATGATTGCCTAAATTAGTGAGCCCACAGTTTTCCTCAAACTCGTGGCCTTAAGGAAGATGCTGGCTTCTTTGGGGTTACGGAGCCTCTAATCCTCAACCCTAGCCACACCCTCTTCCCTTTGCCCTATCCCAGCTGTCCCCGCCCCTTGTATATACCTATCAGCGTCTGTCCCAAGAGTTTCGCCCTTCCCACGCAGGCCCCGCCCTTTCCACCGCTCTGTACCCGCCTGGCCCCTTTCTACCCCAATCTACACTAAGCACCGCCCACACCCGGATTTATCTAGGTATAGCCCACCCTTTCCACTCGCTACCTGGCCATATCCCTTAATTGTTGCTCTAACCCACACTATCCAGTTCTGTACCAGCTCAGCTCACTATCCCTAAGAAAGCCTCAAATGCGTGTACCCCACACATCTCGCCTCTTCCCCGGTTCCCTGTCATGGGCTATCTTCGTCTGGATTTATTGCACCTAATCCTGATTCCTCACCGGGTAGAGGTGGCTTGAATTGCTGGACGCAGCTGCTACAGCACTAGTGGTCTGGATCCCAATACTCAAGGCGGCCGCAATGCTGGGAGGCTTCCAATGGTGCTGCCAAGGCCAGATGCAGCACCGAGGAGTCTGAACCACATCCCCATCCGGGCCAGTGCGCCTGCAGCCTGGAGGCTATGACTGCAGGACTTCCTACCCAGCCCCTCTGCAGCACTTTCCAGGAAACCGGAGTAGAAGAAAGAAGTAGTGGAAGTGAAGGTACAGGGTTCCCAGGTCCCTTCCGCAGTTAAGAATCTCCCAGTCAACTCCTGATCCATTAACAGAAAAGCCCACAAGGCCTCAGGATGGCTAAGGAAAACTATCAGGATTGTGCAGATTCACATCTCCCTGTCCTTCCCTACAACCTTTTTTACCCCCACTCTTTTTTTCTTTTAAGTTTTTTTTTTTAATTTTTTATTTGTGTGTGTCTGTGTGTGTGTGTGTGTGTGTGTGTGTGTTTGGCCAGCTCAGCCCACCAGGAGGCGGGGCTGGCTGGCATGTGGTGCTGGGGGATTGAACCGTAGTCCCTGTGCTTTGCTAAGGCTTGTTCCAAGTAGGTGCTCTAGACCACTGAGCCATCTCACCAGCCCATAACCCCCACTCTTAAAATGGTGTAGTAAGAGGCTGGGGAAGATAGCTCAGCAGCACACACACCTGCCTGGCAAGTGCAAGGTCCCGAGTTCCGTCCCTCGGTATCAAAATAGATAGATAGATAGTAATTAGCACCTCTTTCATAGAGCCATAGTGGAGAATTTAAAATTCTTGTTAGAAGCAAAACACTTAGAGCCGGGGTGTAATAGTGGATGCCTGTAGTCTCAGTTACTCAGAAGCTGAGATAAGAGACTTCCTTGAGCCCTGGAATTCCAGACCAGCCTGGGCAACAAACACAACACAACTCCTCCTCACAATAAATCACCTAGGGCAACACCTGGCATATAGTACGCTCAATTTAAGTATTATCAACTCCTAAAAAAATAAAGGTGTAGGAGACATGGACCTTAGCCCTAACTTGATGAAAATGCCCACCATCCCTAAATCATGCTCACCACATTAGGAATTTTCCAAACTGCATCTTGCCCTTGAAGCCTTAAACAGAAAAGCTGAGGTTTCTAGCACAAAGGCATCACCAGCCTACTAGTACAGACCTGGGCCCAAAGCCTCTCCAACATTTCTAATTTGAAGTTCCTCCACCGATTTTGTGGTTGGAGGCCAGTGCAATTTCTCCTTTTTGTCAGCTAAAAGGAAACTGACACCTACTGCTAGGCTTCAAGTTTAAATAGAAATTATATTACTATAGGGAAGGGGCAGCAAAACAGGTCCATCTGGAGTCCAGGAACCTGGGGAAGGTAGGGCTGGACAGTAAAGGGGGCTTTAAGGAGGGATGTTTGCCAGGAATAGCTGTATCGGGGAGGGGTGAAAGACCAAAAATGGTTAGAGTTTCAGAAACCACCATGCCAGCAGTCTGGGGAAGGCCATTGGTTTCTTTCTAAGGGACGTATCCAATATGAGGCCTGGGGGATGGCCTGCCTCTCTGCTCTGGTGAACACTGATGTGACTAGTGGTCCCAGGAGGTAGTATCAGTGCTGGAGATTCAGGTTGGTCTTGGATTTGAGGTTCAGGCTTGTTTAAGGGTTGAAATTTAGGTGCTGGTCTCCAGATGGGACTCAACCATTCTTAAGGCATAAGTGTTTTTTGGTTTTTTTGTTTGTTTGTTTGTTTGTTTTTTTGGCGGAACCGGGGATTGAACTCAGGCCCTTGCGCTTGCTAGGGAAGTGCTTATTCTACTGAGCCATCTCCCTGCGCCCCCCCCCCCTTTTTTGCAGTACCACAGATTGAACTCAGAACCCTGTGCTTGCCAGGCAATGCTTATTCTACTGAGCTATCTCCCCGGGCCCAGGACATAAGAGTCTTGAGGAAAAAAAATCATGGGACAGTGTGACTTAGGCTTATAATAGGCTTAAAGTAAGATGCTCGTGAGGTACTGACACAGGACAAGCTCCTGGACCCTTAACCTGTTACTCACCAGAAGCATGATTTATGTTTTCTTCTGAGGCTGTCAGACTTGAACGTGGTTTTCCTTCTTTTTTTTTTTTTTCTTCCTTCCTCCCCCAAACTCATGACTCTCCACTTAGGCCTACAGACATCCAATATGTAACAAAAACTAAGCTTGACCTTTATGTTGTAAAACTCTGGGTCAAACCCTCAGCTCTGCATATAGGCGTTTTAGTCATTTAGAATAAGTCTAACAGTTGACAAAACAGGGTTTGTTAGTCCTAACCTTACTTAGCCTATCTCATCACCGTTCAAGACTAAAGACATGAGGATAAGAAGTTTAGGGGCCAGGGAGATAGCTCAGTGGAATAAGCACTTCCCTGGCAAGTGTAAGAGCCTGAGTTCGATCCCTGGTTACACACGCACACACACACACACGAAAAAAAAAAGATAAGTTTATGAAGTTTATGGGGTAGGGCCGGCCAAATAGCTCAGTGGATTACAGCCCCTGGGTTTGACCCCTGGTGTGCCGTGCTGGTGCCAGCCCCACCCCGCTGGCACCGGCCCTGCCTCCAGGGCGGGCTGAGACAGCAATTGAGACTGGGCCGGGTGGTGCGCACCTGTAATCCCTGCTCTCGGGAGGCTGTGAACAGGCGGATCACTATGAGTCCAATCTAGTAGTGAGACCCTGAACACCCTGTAGACCCTTCCCTAAAATATAAAAATAAATAAATAAATGGCCTTCAGAGTACACCTAATTACTCAAACTGTTTTTTCCCTATTTTTAAAAAATTTTTCTTTCTCAAGGGACCAGCTTGATTTTTTTTTTCATACTGGTGAATAGACCTAGGGTTTTGCCCTGAGCTATAGCCCTTTGGGGGGGGGGAGGGTCTTGCTAAATTGATAAATTACCCAGGTTGGGCTTGAACTTGTGATTGTTCTGATTCAGCCTCTTAGAGTGCTAGAATTACAGGGGTGCCACCATGCCTAGCAGTTGTATTAATTTCCATTATCATTAAACCAGGGGCCCACATTAGCTGATGACAGTACCTGCACCTGTATCCTCAGCCAAAGAACTGCTGCCAGAAGTTCCAGGACGTAGGTCAAAGGTGCGTGAACTTGCAGAAGATAGCTCGAGTGCATTCCCTTAGTAGAGGATCAATGAAGGCCACAGTCACTGAGAGCCTCCCACCACACACTCAAGTGTCTGGAACTCCACGTGTCTGTCCTCCCTTGCATTACCCCATGCCTTGTCATACTGAAGACAGGACGTCACTGACACGAGGTAGCTCAGCGTGCACAGCTGCAGCAGCTTCTGAGTTCAGCCACTGCCCTCACCGGATCTTCATCCCACTGGAACATAGCAAAGTGGTAGGGGTCGGCTAAGGAAATAGGAGATCTTCCAGAAGATCTGATTTGTCAGAAGCTTTGAGGCTGGACTGGATTTAGTGACAGATCTCAAGCTGTGAGATTTCAAGGACGACCATTCAGCAAGGAATGCCTCCACTTCTGGGCTCTAAGGAGAGGACAGCAAGTACCTTAAGATATTGCCCCAGGGGTGCTCCCCAATGTTGTCACGTTCATCTCTTCAATCGCCCTTCTGCAGTTCCACGAAAACCTCCTGGGGAAGATCGGGGGAACTCAGCTAGGCTTCTGGAGCGCAGAAAACCCAAACTACCCTGCTGACCCTCACCTCAAAGAAGTTATAATATGGGGCTGGGGAGATGGCTCAGTGGAATAAGCGCTTGCCTGGCAAGCTCAGGGACCTGAGTTCAATCCCCGGTTCCACAAAAAAAAAAAAAAAAAAAAAAAAAGAAGTTATAATATTCCTATACCTCCATGTCGCTCATGTGACCTGGAGGAAGTGGCTGTGTGGGATCAAAGGTGTGGCCTGCTGGGGGCTGTCCACCCTGCTCCAACTGTGCTGCCCCCTTACAAGTGTGCTCTGTCTGGAATTTGGGCCATGTTCTATTTATCCACTAAAGTCTGAATATATTTAAAGGGGCCAGGGATATAGCTCAGCGACGTAAGCACCTGCCTGGCAAGCACAAGGTCGTGGGTTCAATCCCTGGTACCGCAGAAAATAAATAAATAAAGATAAAGGGGACAGTTCTTGAGGTCGGAGAACGGGGCTTTATGGAGAGTGGGGTGTGAAGGTTTGAGGGCGGGACTTTGCACCTGAGATGGAATTTAAGTATCACGAGTGTTTCGCCAATGCTTGCTGCTAAGAAACAAGAGTGTGCTAGGCATGATTGCACACATCTGTAATCCCAGCAGTAGGGAGGATGTGGCAGGATCACCATGAGTTCGAGGCCAGCCCTAGAGACATTATCGCAAAAAAAAAAAAAAAAAAAAAGGAAGAAATGAGTGTGAGAGGACCTGGTGATGAGACAGCCCAGAGGCCAAGTCTTTACGTATGCGGGCATGGCCAAATTCCTGGGAGAAGAGCCTGAAATTTGGAGAAAGAATCTGCAGAGAGGTCTAACCAGAAAGTAGTGGGTTTCTAGGAGCGGGCCTTAGGAGCCCGGAAAAGGCGAGACTTTGTGATGATGAACAATAGAAGAGGAAGGCTTGCGCGACTTTAACGCCCGAGTTCCGTACCCGGTCTGGCCGAATACAGGTTTGTCGTGAAGCCGGGGACACTAGTCCTACTGCTGACAGCCCCGCCCCGATCTTAAAGTAAAAACAGCAGTTAACCCTGGAAGGGTGCAAAAAATAAGGTGAACTGAGCTCCGGGGAGGCCAAACTGCCCAGAAACGCCTACCCCAAACCGCCCAGCCACCAAAGACCCAAAGCGCCCTGGCCCCCCAGAAGGCCATCTCCTATGCCCGTCCTCATTTGTCCTTAGGGCCGAATACTGAAGCCAAATACTGAGCCAATTTTACCCAAAGCCTCCCAACGTCTGCTCCCTACGTCACTTCCGTTGCGTAGGAGCGTTGGGAAGTGTAGTTCACGACTGCCTCCGGCCACACCCTTAGGACTTTGCTTGCCGCGCATGCGTGTAGAGCAACCTCGCCCCAAAAGACTACAAGCTCCAGAAAAACCTGCGGCCTCTCACGCAAACCTCGGTGGCTGAAAAATAGTAAAGGCGTCCGAGGCAGAGGAAACCACCGCCGGTAAGTGGGAATCGTTTAGCGCACCCCAATAGAGGTTCTTAACTCGGCGAGCTTGCTGGCGGGGGCGGGAAGTGCCCCTTTTTCAGCAAACCCACCCCGTAATTTGTCTTTTTGTCGTAATCGGGGCGTGGTTGTTGGTGATCCGAGCATCTGTCACTTGAATCTTGCTCCGCAGGCTCGTGGGACGACCAGACTTCAGCGTAACTATGAACTTGGAGCGGGTCTCCAATGAGGAGAAATTGAACCTGTGCCGGAAGTACTATCTGGGTAAGCGCCGGATCCTCTAGAGCTTAAGGAAAAGCATAGACCGAGGGAGGAGGGACTAGATGCGTGGAGTCGTGGATCTAAGAGGTGAAGCAGGTGGAGATGCCAGACTTCCCCGTCTGAGAGAAGGGAGGGCCTGGGTCCAGAGGAAGGAGGAAGCTGAAGCCTCAATTTCTGCGCCCCGAGAGAAGAATGTTGGAGGACTGGTTGCTTGAGACCTTGAGAACGAAGTGGTTGAGGAATCAGATTCCTGGACCCCAGGGAAGAGCCAGGATCCCTGAGCTCCTGACCACCTAAGTTTACAGTTGAACTTCGGTAAAGGAGAGGACCTTCAAAATAAGTATTTTTTGTGGGTGTCGGGAAAGATCCTCGTTGTTCTGTGACCCAGTGTGGGTTTTTCTCCTTAGGTGGGTTTGCATTCCTGCCTTTTCTGTGGCTGGTCAACATCTTCTGGTTCTTCCGCGAGGCCTTCCTTGTCCCAGCCTACACAGAGCAGAGCCAAATCAAAGGCTGTGAGTCTGGGGTGCAATGAGGAAGGCCAGTGGGTGGTGGGAGGGGATGATGGAGGCTGCAGAGTTCTGTGGCTCTGTGATCAGAAGAGAGGTGGGTCTAAGGAAGTGGAGAGAGGAGCTGGAGGCCAACCTTCCTGCTCTGTTCTCTATTGTAGATGTCTGGCGGTCGGCGGTGGGCTTCCTCTTCTGGGTAATTGTGCTCACTACCTGGATCACCATCTTCCAGATCTACCGGCCTCGCTGGGGTGCCCTTGGGGACTACCTCTCCTTTACCATACCCTTGGGGACCCCCTGACAACACGGGGTCAGCACAGGATGGCGTCTTGGGCTTTGTCCCAGGATGGGTTCCTCTGCTCTGAGTTTACCCTCAAGCCCCAAAGACTTGTAAGACTTGTGCCCAGCTCCCATCGTCTTAGCTGACATCCCCCAATAAAGGACCTCAACATTCGATACTGATTTCCTGGGATCTTTCAGAGGTTGAGGCCTAAAACATGCATTAGCTGGTGTAGTGGTGATATACCCCCTTGATCCTAGCATACTGAGAGACTGGGGCAGGAAGATCAAAAGTTCAAGCCCATGGGGGCTTGGCCCTAGCTCAGTTCTTTAAGTGGCTGCTTCCACAAAGCTGTCAGCCTAAGGTTGTTGTAGTTCGATCCCCACAACCCTCCAGCCAGCCAAAAGTGCCCTGAAGGCA